CCCGCGCCTGCCCCCCCGCCCGCCCACCTTGACAGCCACCTCTGTCTCCCGCCACCACCCGATCCTCACGCGCCCATAGCTGCCCTCCCCCAGCATACGGCCCAGCCGCAGGTCCTCGTAGCGCAGCAGCCAGGGGCTGTCCACCGCCAGCTGCTGCTGCTGCGGCCAGCTCCCGCTCGGCTGCCGTGCGAACGAGCGCTCACGAGAGGGCGCGGCCGAGCCGCCGCCGGCGTCGCTGCTGGCGGCTGCGCTGCCGCCGGCGGGCGTGGCGTCGGCACTGGTGGCGCCGGGCGTGGGGTTTGCGCTGGCGCCGCCGTTTGCAGAGGCGGCGCCACCGAGGCGCGAGGGTGCTGACGTCAGCGGCGGCTGAGTCGCGAGCTGCTGAAGCTGCTGGTATGATGAAGCCCCCAGCGGCGACGGCGTCCGCGCAGGGGGCGTCCCCACCTCGAGCGCGGCGCCGCTGCCCTGCCGCGGGGTCGGCTGCAGGGGCCCCACCAGTGCGTGCCCGCTGCCGCCCTGAGGCATGCCGTGGTGGCGCGCGTGCTGCTCGTCGATTGCCAGCAGGGCCTGCTGCAGCTGCTGCTGGCCCGCCGAGGAGGCGGATGCTGCCTGCGCCGAGCTGCCGTACCGCGAGAGCAGCCCGCCCACCGCAGACGCCGACGACGCACCCGAGCCCGCGGTCGTGAGCACCGCGGCGGCGGCAGCGGCGGCCGCGTGCTGCTGCACCTCCGACCCGCCGAGCAGCAGCGCAGTCAGGGCCTCGGCGACGACGCTGGCGCTGTGCGGCAGCTGCACGCCGGCGTCGGCCGCGGCGACGCGCAGCGCGCCCTCGGGCGTGAGCTTGACGCTGCCGCTCGCGCCCGCCGTCGCGAGCAGGTGCCCGCCGGCCGCCATGGCGACCAGGCCGAGGCGGTGGGCGGGGAGGGTGAGGGTCTTTGGCTTCCAGAGACCCACGTGGGCGTCACCACGCGGCGCGCTGCGTGTCTTGGGGTCCAGCTTCCGCAGGTACACCTGTTCCGGGGCGCGGCGGGTGCAAGGGTGGGCGGGCCGTGATGGCGGCGCACTGGCAGGTGTGGTTGTGAGCCGAAGTTGCCGTGGGGCAGGACGAGCCAGACGGACGGCGGAACGGGCGGCCGCCCCCCTCCAAACAGGGCGCTGGTGGGAAAAAGATCCCACGTCATTTGTGAACGTTCCTGCATTGTACCCAACCCCCACCCTGGTTACGGGCGTGGCACTATGCCGCACCTTGCCGCTGGCGTGTGCCGCCGCGAGCAGGCCCATCTCCTCCAGCACGGCCAGCGCCCGCACCGGGCCGCGGTTCTGGCCCAGCACGAGGACCGGACGCAGGCTGTCGCCAGAAGGGTCCCACATTATGACCTGGGAAAGAGCATCCAAGTTTCCATCAATTGTGTGGGACTCATGACATGAACCAGTTTTGCACAGGAGCAAAATACATGCGATTTCCCCTTAAAAAGACGGTTGGTGAGGGGCTCGTTGGAAGGCAGGTGCGTGCGGGTCACTTCAGAAACACCTACAAGCTGAGCGGCGGGAGCGTCACAGGCATATGGCACCGTCAACTGCAAAGCCCGGACATGCGCGCACCTGGCCGTTGGCGTGGCCTGAGACGATGTGAGCATCCACCCCGCCAACGACCCCGCGGCCCACGCGCCCCCATGCGACGGGGCACAGCGCCGTCACCGGGGACTTGAGCCACTGCGTGCTGCGCCGCGTCACGGTCCGCAGCAGCTGGCAGCTGGGCGCGTCCCACACCAGCAGCGACGCCGACGCCTTGCTTCGGCCCCCGGCGCTGTACGCGCGCCCGCCGCGGACGACGATTGCAGAGACGGGGCCGGAGTGCACCGCGGTGTCGCGCAGGCGGCGGCTGCCGCTGGGGGCGCCGGTGAAGCACGACTCCAGGAGGTGCAGGCCGCTCAGCAGGCTGCCACCTGGGGCATTGCTGCGCTTGTAGCTGCGGGACGCGCCGCCGCCGTCACTGCCGCCACCGCCGCCGGCGCCCCGCCCCGGGCTGCTGCCAAGCAGCGCCGCCTGATACGACGACCCGCCACTACCAGTGGTCCCGACGCCAAACAGGTTGGTGGAATGCGACGGGGCCGCCACCTCCTGCAAACCTCGGTTGCTGCTGACGCGCGGCGAGTGGGCGTCAAAGCCTAGAAGGGTGCGCACGACATCCAGGCGCCCGTCGTCGCCGTCGCTGCCAGGTTTGTACCTAGGGTAGGGCGGGAGTGGGGAAAGGGGCGTGTCGGCGACGAGCTGGCGAGGCCGTTGCTGGCACGGCCATCGCTGTGCTTGCAGCCAACAGAGCACCGCGCTGTAACAGCCGTGCTCGAGCGCTGGCTGCACCCGCCAGGCTGCGACACGCCCAGCAGCAGGAGCGGCCCGGCCCCGCCGACGCACCCCAGCAGCATGCAAACATTCCAGCACAGCTGCCTCGCGCCAAACACTGTGGGGATGCGACGAGCGTGTGAGTCTTGCCTGCCGCGCCTCCCCACCCCCCTTCTCACCTGACAATCACAATCTCTCCCTCCTGCGTCCCCGCCCACGCGTACCCCGTGTCCTCGTCCACAACAATCGCGCTGACACCACAGTCCGCCACGCGCAGCGCCGGCGCTGCGGCGTCTGCAGAGTCCAGGCACCACGCGCGCACCGTGCCGTCCTCGTGGCCGCCCCAAATCAGTCCTGTCAAGGGAGGTGGGAAGGCGCGCCGTGGCAAAATGGCAGCCAGGGTTCTTGCCTTCCTCATCTGCAACTGCACAACATCAAATTAACCAAGTGCTGCTGAATGCAACCATGCAGCCAGAACATGCGACGCCAGCCAGCAGTTGCACGAAAGTTGTCCTCCTGATCGCACCCCGCTGCACCGGACTCCATGCCCACCAGACACGCTGTAGCAGAAAGCTGTGAGGCCGCCAGCCGCGCCCGTGATCACGGTCGTCACGTTGCTGCTGAGGTTGACCACCTTGATGCTGCTGTGCGCCGCCCATGCCAGGCAGCCGTCAGGGCCATCGCCGTCCGGATCTGGGAACCACAGCAGGCCGCCGACCACCTTGTGCTGGCTGGCTTTGCGCAGTGTCCGTCGCGCGAGCCGGTGCGAGCCGCGCGCCGCGGCCGGGGCGTGCAGCGAGCTGGCATTAAGCAGCTGCAACGCACCGCCTGGCGGCCCCTCTGCGATGGCGCCGCCGCCGTGGCCCCAGCCCGTGTTGGGTGCCGCCCCGGACGACGCCGCTAGCACAGCCGGCAGCTTGGTCGGCGTGATGCTGCGAGACGCGCCCGGCGGTGGGGGCCCAGGACGCAGCTCCCGGCGGAGGCGGTTCTCCGGGTCAATCTTCTGCCAAAGAGCATCCTCCAGCGCGTTGAGCTGCGCAGTAACCTCTGCAAACTTCGACTCCACCTCCACCTTGCTGGATCGCCGTAGCAGCGCGCCCAGCGCCGCCTGGCGCCCATACTTTGAAACCAGCCCTTGCGCATGGCTCACAGCTACCTGCACCTCGCCGCCCGCGTGCAGCAGCAGCGAGGGGTGCGCCTCGGCGACCGCACGCGATGAAAGTGCCTCCTGCAGTGCCAGGCTGGCAGCAAGCGCAGCGCCGAGCGTGCCGCTGCAGTGCTCCCTGAATGTGCGGGCGCGGTTGGCGCTGGCTGCAAGTTCCTTGACCGCTGCCCTCACGTCGGCGACGAGGCGCGCTCCACGCGCAAAGCGCACGTCAAACTGCGCTTGGCCAAGCTGCGGGTGCTTCCATGGCTGCTGAGCCTGCTGCTGCGGCAGCGGCTGCCCCTGCTGCTGCTGCTGCTGCTGCTGCTGCTGCTGCTGCTGCTGCTGCTGCTGCTGCTGCTGCCGCTGCAGCGGCCGTAGATCCTGGAGAGAGCCGCTGAGCTCTGCCAACCACCGCTGGTGGGTGACAGCAAGGGGCGGCATGGTCGACAGGGGTGTAGCCTCGCTTTCGCAGGCCGCCATGGCCCTGGTGCTCAAGGTGGCGGCTGCACAGGTGGTGCGCACGTGCCAGCATGATGTCGGCACAAGGGTGGTGGTGCAGTGGCGGTCTGCAAAGTGGAGCTCGGTCAGGCAAAGATTGTGCCACGCCCCTGCAGCACCTAATCCAGCCATGGCACAGCAGCCTGGGCCGGGCCCTTCTGACTTCCACGCTAATCGCGCAGAGAGCGCAGCCTTGTGTTGCGTCACCACAGGTCCGGCTCTCACCTGGCATCTTGGGCATGCTGTGGGACCTCAGCTGGGACGAGCTGCGCTCCGGCCGCACGCCGTTATCGACATTACCTTCCGCGCCTCCCTCCTCGTGCAGCATTTGGCAGCAGCAGCAGCGTGCCTGAGGGCACGGTCACTTTGGGCGCCTGCCCGTCATACCCATCTGCGTTGCTGCAGGTGTCTCTGTCAGCACAGCCCGGGCGACGTCGACTGCAAGAGGTGTGGGCACGCACCCAAGGGCACACAGAGTATGCCTGAGGCCGTGAGAGGTGGGAGCGTGCTGCCGTGTCCTGGTCCCGAGCGACCCGCGGCCTGACACTTCGCCTGCAGCTGCACCAAGGTGTGCAGCTGGGTGTCTGACCACTTCAGGCAGAGGCCCGAGACGCGACGTCCACCTTGCACTTCCCAATCGTTCCAGATGCCGAGGGACGCCGCTGCCTGACGACCGACAATAGGGACAACAGGGACAGGCTGGCGAGCCAAGTCCACGAGGCGACTCTGGATCGGCCGGCCACTGTGGCACTGAGGCGATCGCTGGTCACGCGTTACGGCACCTCAGTGGTTTGAGACGGCCGAGACACGGCCTCCCGGTCTGGCTTCTCGCCAGCTGCTGTCCGCACAACGAAACGCAGTTCTGCGCTTGCGAGCGCACGTACGGTAGGGTATATCAGTCACTAGTAATCATCCATGAAATCTTAACTAAATGGTGGCCCATGCCGATCATGAAGTTGCTGTGATCGCGTCCGAGTGTTGACAACAGAGGGTAAGCGCACTTGTGCACGAGGGAATGCAGAGCCCACACAGTCGATTTTCGGCAGCATAGCATCGAATTGGTGTGGCTGGCATCCGTGGCAGTTGGCTGCAAACTGGAATATGTTTTGATGGAAAAATGCGCAGCCCCAAACATCGTCATCGCTTGGTCTCTCCAGAGATCGGCTCGGCTGCACTCCTACGGTATAGTGACCTCTCTTTTGCCTGATTTCAGTGTTGCCAGTACACCTCGCTTTTGCGGCCTCTCTAGTACCATCGGTTGCAACAGGCCACCTGCTACCCTCTAGACTGTTGTAGAGTGTAACATAGAGGACGTGATTAGCCTCTGCACAACTTGGAAAGGGGGGCGCGTCCGACTGGCCGGCTGGCGCCCCCACGTTGCACACGCCTTTTCGTTCCCCGCGCAACGGCCACCGTGCGCCGCGACCCGCAGATTGCACCAGAACTGGTGTGGGAAGGGGGAAACAGAGTGGGGGTCGGCCAGCGTCTCCCATGCGCGGCCCATATGATGCCGTGCGGCCCTACAGCACGTACCGTACGCTGGCTTGCGAACAATTGAGACACAAGTCACAAACATGCTCTGGTCACAGAAGCCAAGGTGCAACGCGCCATTTCAACCCGAATGCTGGCATGCGGTGCTCATGGTAGCTGGCATGCGGTGCCGCCGCCCGAGCTGCCGGCCTCATTTGCTGCGCCATCGCCGCTGCGCGCCGCCGCGGGCCACTGCCGCTGCCCCCCACCCGCGCCTCGGGACAGTACGTGCGAGCAGCAATAAGCATAACATTGTTTAAAAAGCGAGTCGTGCAAGGACTGAGGATGGGATTGCCTCGGTGCAGCATCCAGCCCCTAGTAACGCGCAAGCCCGGAGCATCTAGCTACGCAAAGGTGCACCAAATTATGAGTATACTATCAAAATACTCTATACACCCACGCGGTGGCGCGATCGAGGTGCACGCGGGCCGCTGACAGCTGGGCTGGAGTGGTGTTTGACTGTGCCCAGGCACGCCGCGCGCTCCCGAGCCATGCACTCCCGCGAACGAGATGCATAGGAGCGTTACCACACTCTAGGTGTGCCGGCCAGCCCACCGGGCGCCCTCCAGGCGACGCCCGGCCCCCACAACGGAGTGGTGAACTTTGGCACACCAGGCGCGTGGTGAGAACTCCTTTGTTCTACGCGTCCAGGGCACCGGAATGTCTCCTTCAAGCCATGATATACTCAGAACGCTTTGTTCTATCCGATACACCCAAGCGTACCCCAGTCAGAGCCCTGCACGCAAAGCCACACACCCGTGGGCAGCTGGGCGGAAGGCTGCAGACAACGACACGAATCCAGGGCTCCGCCCCAGGGGGGGCTGCGCAAAAACGAGGCGACGGCAGCGTGCCTCGACGCAGCAATGCATGGGCAGCCGCTCTCTGGCCAACGCGTTCACGCGAACGACATAGATTTGACGGAGTACTGCGTGAAACAAAGGTTCCTCTCACTCACGTGCCATGATCAAGGTCGCCTGCACATGCACCGCGAGGACGGTACCGTAAGGTAGTAACAGCCGCAGAGCGTCCCTCCATTGCCTGCTGCGACCTCGAATACGCAGGCGCCTGACGGCGTAATGATTGGGGTGCTGGGGGCAACTGCGACCCGAATGTTTCACCCAAAACCGGTGTAATTAATTCAGATCTGTCGGACACTGCCGCCCAGCTGCTGCCGCCGCCGCCGATGACGACGACCATCATCTCGCCAGCCATCAAGCAGCAGCAGCAACAGCAGCAGCAGCAGCAGCAGCAGCAGCAGCAGCAGCAGCAGCAGCAGCGGCGGCGTCATAGCAGCAGCGTGGCAGCGAGCGTGAACGCGCCGAGACCAAGGCTCCAAGCGGGCGAGGCGCGCGTGCGATGGTGTCGACAGCGTGGCCGCAGCCGCCTTTGCGCCCGCAGCGGCGGCACAGGCACCGGCTGCCACGTAGCAACGCGAGCGGCGGGCCTTTGACGGCGACGCAGCAGAACAAAGGGTGGTGGCATAGAAGCCGCAGCGCGCCTGGCGCAAAAAGGGGAGGACAAGGGAGGGTGTTCAGCAGCAGGCCAGGGCAGCTTGCAGCTGCAGCCCGGCCACCGGTCGGGGGGATGTGCGGGCGCTGGACCGACAACGGCGGCAGCAGCAGCAGCAGCAGCAGCAACGGCAGTAGCATCCGCAGCCGCGGCAGGAGCGCGAGCGATGGTGCGGCTTTGGCGGGCAGGCTAGGGGCGCCCAGGCCGTGGTGCACGAGGGCGAGGCGGCGCCGCCGGGCCTGTGCGACAAATCGCGTGTGGTGCTGTGGGCGGGTGCTGCCAACCGGCAATGTGGCTACCGGGCTGCCGCGGCTGCTCGCCGCTTTTGAGGCCGGCGGGCGCACGGTGGGCATTCGCGTGGAATTGGCGGGCAATGTGCCCACCGCGCCCCTGCTTAACAATCCTTATTCCTGCAGGCAATGTGCCCATAGCGCCCCTGCTGTAACAATGGGCAGCGGCAGCGGCCAGCCAGCCGCCGACGAAATCCCTGAGCCGCAGAACACCAGTTGCAGATCACGTGGCCAGTCACCGACAGCAAGGACCCGGTGTGATCCCGAGCCGAACGACGAGACGCCCGGTAAGGATGTCTACCTCGTCGGCCCCTGGGCCCTCACGCGCTTCGATGTCTCCTTGTAGGGCCACAGCTCAGCCCCGCTCACCCATTTCATCATTAAGAACGCGACACTGCGATTGAAGCAGCTTGTGGCCGCACAGCAGCTCGGGGACAGGTACTCACCTGCGGAGGCGGTTCGCCCGCCACTGTGGGAGGCGCCGGCCGACGGCGGCCCGCCCCCTGCAGCAGTCCAAGAGCGGGCCCGAGGTCAGCTTGGCAGGCTCCGCAACAGCCTGGCTCCGCCACCGCCGCCGGGGGTGACGGGCCGGGGGGCACAGCCTGGCTCCGCCACCGCTGGGGGTGGCAGGCCCGACATGCGCCGGCGCGCCGCCCTTCGGCGCGCCGATGCCCAGCATCACTCAGGCAGGCACGTGGGCGCGGAGGGCGGACAGCCGCCAAGCTCAAATGAAGGGCAGGAAGGGCACGGGGCGCGGGATGCGCCCGCTTAACTAGGCTGGCGCGCCGCCCCACGGCGCGCCGGCGCTCAAGTTTTTTTTTTTTTTTTTTTTTAATACATGTGAAGTTACACGAAAGGTTGACGACACCCGCGCAAATGCGGCGGCCCAAGCCCGGCCCC